GATTCCTTTGGGCAACAGAAGAGGGAGCGTGCCAAGGAAACAACAACATTTAAGGAGGAGGAAGCAGCCGAGGATGATGAAGATAAGGATGAGAAGATATAAGAGGATGATTAGTGGGTATTTTTCTTTTTTTATGATTATGTTGAATGTTTGTACATATAGTTTTTTTGGTAAACAGTGATGTATATATTTTAGATTAAATGCATTTGATCTATTTCGTAATTTGATTATATAATTAAATGTTCGACTGCTATTCTAGTCCTTTAATTGCTTGAAATGGTATATTAAATATTGTGATAATAGGTGTAGTAATGTAAATACGAAAGGATAATTATCTTTTTTTTTCATGTTGCAAGTTTCTGACGGCATATCGTCAGTTTTACGACAACTTCTGACATATCCTTGGCCAAAATTGACGGCTAGCCGATGGACTTATTTATCGACGCTTAGCTGTCACCTAACCGACTACTTAAATGTGTCACAAGAAACCAACGGATGAGATACTTTTTTTACATTTTGACCATCAATTTTAATAACTAAAGCATTACGGACCAAAAAACAACGAAATGCTAGATCACATGAAATCAACGGGTGCGACACTTTTGCGACAATTTAACTGTCGCTATTACCAACAGTTCTTCTAGCTGTTATATGAGCCGACAAACACCATTTATATTTAGTTTCTCTGAAAAAATGGTTAGATTAAATCATTAGTTAAGCGTCGGTAGTTTTACACAGTCGGAATATCAGTCAGTTTTGAAATTACCAACATGTATTTTACCTATGAGCCTAGAACCGTCAATAAACCGTCATATATATCAAAAACAAGAGTTTTTCTCATCATAGCCACATAAATTGGTCGCTGGAAAAAAAAACCAATTTTTCCTGTAGTGGAGATCACACCTATTTACATTTATTAAAAATAGAACATACTTCAAATTTTCAAAATAATTTTTTATAAGAGAATATAAAAGAAAACCTCTTTTATTCAAAGCCAAGTAAAACGTGCAAGGAAATCATCAATTGACATATCATTTTATAAAGTAATAAAAATTCTTTTGATAAACTATAGTCATTGGCGCCGTTACATTGTTCGTACTTTTTTCCAAATTTAATTAGAGGTTTTGTTGTGACATTTAGGTACTTGCCACCTTTGTCATGGTGTAGAAATGTGGTACTCTGCCACCTATTTTTCTGTCTTTTCTTCTATCATTCTTTTAGTTCAATAATATTTTTGATTGACTCGTCTTTATGTCATTGCTCCATCTTTAATGGAGTCTTTTTCATTTTCTTGAAACATGTTTTCTTCTTCTCTTTCAGTATCAGGTGTCAAAACTGAAATGAAATTTGTGAATACCTTTTGATAATCCTCCCAACGTCGTTTGTTTAATATGCTCTAATATTTTTTGTGGGTATCAATGGAAATAGTTCATAATTAGATCAACGAAAATTGAAACTTCACAAGGAAATGGACATAACTTAATCCATTGATTAAGTTTTTTGAACTATTTACTTAGGGATGATTCAACTCACAGCTTATAAGTTCTATGAATTTGATTAGGTAAAATTTTTAATTCTGTTTTGAACTGGTTCCACCATTTATTGAGCCATGAAAGATATTTGTGTTGTCTCTTGTTTCATCATTGCAATTATCCATACATATTTCTTTTATAATTTATTACATAAAATTCTTTCATCATTACTTGGATATAATTCAATTATCCACTAATTTCACTCATAAGGAATGAGTTATTGTGATCATAAAAGAGGTTTAGACCATTTATTATCTTATTTGGTTAAAATGTATTGGGTAGAATTTCTACATGATTTAATAAAGTGATACTTTTTTTTTTCGTTTAGTATATCCAATTATAAGGAATACTTCATATGGACAAGCATGGTTCCCCAAGAAACATTCCATTAGTGCCATGATGATGGATCTTATAATTTTCAAGGGTAATATTTATAATGTTTGTAGTAATTAGTTTAACACAATAAATTGGTTCAAATGCAATAATTTATTTTAAATTTGATTAATTTAAGGTGAAAGATTATTCCTTCTATAATTTTGTTTTAGGTAACACATATAGATTATCATTTATGTCTATTATATCTCTTCTTTGAGTAGGATATCTCCCGATACCTCCCTGAGAATAATATTCTTCTTGGCCTCTTTCTAAAGTGTTATTATCCCTAACAAATATTCTCTCCATTACCCGATAAAATTATAAATTTAAGAATTCAAGTAACGAGATAGATGAACCTTATAAATACTTAATGGTAAGACGAAAATATTATAATTGGACTTGCCATCAAGGAAAAAATTAATTTGCCACTTAATGTTAAATATCTTTTTGTATAATTGATTTAGTTGCACCACTCTCAGTTTGTAAAAAGATTTTTTAATTAGTCATTCAGGAATTTATAAGTTTATTTAGCGTTAACAAGCATTTATTTTCTTATAATGGAATATTATGTAAGTGATATTCTATTGGGCAAAAATAGCATTGAGGGTTTTTTTTTTAATATCCCTTCAAAGCCAATGTTATTAGCATTTGCTTTAAAATTTTAAAACTCATCAGGCCTGTCGTTTAATGTAAACAAGATAAATTTTAAACCCCTTGCTTAATTTTTTTATGTAGTCAAATTTTGGGATGAAGACCTTTTCTTGTTTATACAAGATAGTACATAGCATCAATTGCTAAAATTCATCAGGTATGTCGTTTAATGTAAACAAGATAAATTTTAAACACCTTGCTTAATTTTTTTTATGTAGTCAAATTTTGGGATGAAGACCTCTTCTTGTTTATACAAGATAGTACATAGCATCAATTGCTAGCTCTTTATAAAAATTGGCTATATAATTAAGTTGTCATAAAAATCATTGATATTAAATTATATTAAGAATTTCTTTTGGGTAAAAATGAATTCAATTCTTCTATTATTAAAAATAATTGTTCCATAAACCATCTCCTTAAAACAAAATTTTAGTTTGAAATAACTTTATCAATTTCTTGTGCTAATATTACCAAACATCTTCTTATATTTAACCATTTAAACACATCTAAGAGTTTAGCTAAAATGATCATCCATAATATTGAAAAATATTTATACATTGTTCATATATATAATTTGATAATAACTAAATTTTTCATTCATAATATTTTGAAATTCATCAAATACATTTTTAAATGAAAGGTGTAGCAATCTATTGGTCATATCCATAAAAAAGATCAAAATAACTTCATAAGGATCCTCTTTTTTATTTGAATTGGCTAATATCCCTACTTTAGAACAAATTTCCAAAAGTAGCTATTTTAAAAAGTTGATTTACAAACTTACTGTAATTAGGAATTTGATATCTAATTAATTTTAGAACTTGATTGATAAGTCCACAATTTATTATCCATCTCCCTTTATCACTTTACTTTCTAGCTATATATGTTCAAAACATAGAAGATTGTGCAGCTCTAGAGAGAGTAAGATTTATGAAGTGGTCACTAATTTTATTTTTCATAAAACTAAAAACCCCTTATTTATTTGACAAGAACAAGCTTTAGTAGAAAAATAAAAAAAGGGATCTATACAAGAAAGAATAATGAAATGATTTTTTTCCGCCCGAGAATGTGACAAATGTACACTCATATTTCTTTTAACAAAGTTTTCACAAGAAAGAATAATGAAATGATTTTTTTTCCGCTCGAGAATGTGACAGAAATGTACACTCATATTTCTTTTAACAAAGTTTTCAGAAAGATGGATTTTTTTTTTCTTACACATTTCATACTTCATTTTCTTGATAGTTGTTTTAATAATGGCTTCCTTTTTTTAAAAAAAATGATTTGTAATATTTTTTCTTAAATTTTATCCATCTCATTAAGGATAATTTCTTTAGGATTCATTTTACATTAAAAACAAGTCTAAAGTTAGACTTTTAGAAGTGTTTCAATACGCCATTCAATCATTCTTATATATTCTAAAATAAATAACGAACGATTTTATCATCTTTAAAATCAATGAAACTCAACATACAATTTCTTAAAAGTAAGTTGTAAAAAACATTGTGATATTAACATAGAAGATTATATAGATTGGTTGATAGAAGATCACAATGGAAAGGAGAATAATACTTCTTCTTAGGAGCAAAGAATTTTTTATTCAAGAGAAAAAAATGTTGTGTTTGTGTGTGTGGAGAAATTATTCCGTCCGGTGTTCACATATCCGAACAACTGCAAGGATTCGACCACGTGAAATGCATGGTGATGTGGCTAGATTCTCATTATTGTCAGGACATGCGGTTCATCAGATAAAAAATATATATGTATTTGTGTGTGTGCGCAAGCACAACGGGGAGAGGGTAATTCAATTTTCAAGTAAATCTTCTCTCAAGGGTGCATAATACCTACTTATATAAATGGTGATAATACATAACAATGATGATGATGATGATGATGATGATGATGATGAATAACAATAATGATGATGATGATGATGATGATGATGATGATGATGATAAGTACTATAATAATGTATCCACAGCAAAACTAAACATCAATGAAACCCCAATGAAACTTTATTCATTACCTTTTATTTTATAATATTTCTCTTAGCCTCAATTCTCTTTGAAAACAGTATCTGTCCGTATTACATCAAGCGCTTTTAGCACTTCTTCTAATTTCTCCTTTACACCTACTGTAATAAAAATTATTACATAAAATTACTCATCAGTTTAGATAAAGAATATATAATCAAACCACAAGGGATTAAACCAATAATTTCAACCACCCCCGCCTTCTCCATGCAAAACTTCACCTCAAGTTAAATAGACCCGAGAGTCAAAACATTTCAAAATTACATAATTGTTACGCATATTTACAAAGGCTTTCAAAGCCTTACTATTTAGTTATCTACATAGATGAACGGCATTAATTATTGTAGGTGTTCTGATGGATTTTAATCACTCTTTGGAACCTACATGCATCTTTCATCTTCTCATCTCAATCCTTTATATTATTTAAGCTTATCTTAGTACGTCACCGCCCACATTAATTGGATTCATTTTCTTTTGAATTCATGAAAGCAAAAGAAGAGGTGCCCACCATGAGAGATGATGGTGCCACCCCCACACTCCTATAATTTTTATATAAGGAGGCCGTGAGGAATCATGAGTGGAGCATGAGAAGAGTTGGGGGAGATGGAGTTGCTCCTCATTAATCTCTGCCTTTTTCTTCTCTTCCCAACTGTGGCTCCATTAACGGAGGTTTCATCGAGCTCTTGTTCTTCTCAATTTGAGGGTACGTAAGAGTTTTTCTATGTATGTTTTGAATTTAGAGAACAAGAGATGTTATATTATAAAGGATTTTGATGTTGTGTTTAGTATTATTTGAGCTTCCTTCACATTTGACTAGAATCACAAGCATATAATGATTTGTTGTTTCATATATATTTGTTTAATTTTGAAGTAAAAAGTTTATATATTTTGGGTACTATAAATTCATATTTAAAAAAAACATAGAAAATAAATAAATAAAGCAATCATTTATGAGTATTAGTTTGATGGTGGGAACTCTATAAACTACTGTAGATGCTCTTTGCTGTATTTCTTTAAAATATTGAATTAATATATTAGACATCTTTTATAGAAAAACAGATTACAGCTAGTTACTATGATTTGTATAATTATACACAGAAAATTATGCATGCAGCTTCAACAACCAATTAATTTTAAATTCTTATATTAACAGCAGAACAATTTATATTAAGCTGCTGTATTAAGAATGAAAGAAGATAAGCTTAGAAAAACTTCATTGCCTCCAATTCTGTAATTTTTATCACTTTCTATTTGGGAAAGTTGTTATGTTATCCTTACAAAATAAAACTCTTGAAAAAATGTTTTTTTAATATTTTTATTTAATTTTTTAATTTTTTTAACTAAAAAAAAAACTTTCGAAATGAAGGTTAAAAAGGAAAATTGATTTAGGTTAGATGTATTGAGGAAATTATATGAAATAAATATTATTTTCTGTATTTATTTCCATTGCAACGTGGTCCTAATGATGAAGTCTTTTGTCAAAAATAAAAAAAAGGTGGGAGCCATTGCCAGCACTAACTGATACCGTGGCCAATTCATGCTCTATTATTAGGCCACTTGGCCAGCAAACTATCTCAAGTTGCTTAGACAAATATTAATTTCGAAAGCTAAGTTTGTTCTGTAGAACTATGGCTGCATGATAGGGTAATTAAAAATCTAATTACTATTTAGTAGGTAAAAGGAGTATCTAACAACTGAGATGCCACTTATTTTCAGTTATCTAATTACTACCCCGATAAGATATGATTAACTAAAGCTATTATGTCATTAATGTAAGAGCATAAGACACATTTAGTTATTTTAAGCAATATTAAATTTATGTGAAGGATGGATAGTTTTTATTTTTTTTCCGTAAATAGAATTAAATCGATTTTATATTCTGTGCTTGAAAATAAAATTAAATTGGAAAAAAAAAATCATTTTGCATTTCCAATCTCACTAAACTGACTTTCTTCACATCTTATTAAAAAATTAACAGCCATCCGCACCACCCTCAACTCTTCCGGCATCCACCTCCCCCTCCACCACCGTCAAAGCCCCTGCTCCCCTTCACCACCACTGAACTCCGGCATCCCTTTCTTTTCGCTCCTTCTCCACGACGCCCGCCGTGTCGCCTACCTCTCCCACCGCCTCACCTCCGGCCACCCCGTCTCCCTCCCACTTTCCCAAGGCTCCTCCCTCGGCGTCGGCAACTACATCGCCCGCATACAAATCGGCACTCCGCCGAAGCCATTCTCTGTCATCGTCGACACCGGAAGCTCGCTCTCTTGGCTCCAATGCCTTCCCTGCAAAGTCTCCTGTCATCTTCAGGTCGGAGCTCTTTTCGATCCCACTGCATCGTCTACTTATGCTCGTGTTCACTGTTCGGCCTCCGCCTGCTCTGCTCTTTCCTCCGCCACTCTCAATCCTTCTTCTTGTACGCGCTCCGGTGACTGTGTGTATGCGGCTACGTATGGAGACTCCTCCTTCTCTGTCGGCTACCTCTCTCAGGTATGGCTGTAGAAAAGCCCCACATGATTTATCTCACAGATGTTTGTTTTAACTTTATTTTTTTTAACGAACATCACAGAATCTCATTTTATTTCATAAAAAAAAATTATAAAATCGGAAAAGAAGCCACACACACACTATAATCCAAAAAAAAAAAAAAGAAAATGGGTTCCTCCCAAAAAATAAAAAATAAAAATAAAAATAATAATAAATAATAATAAATAAATAAAAATAAATAATAAAAAATATAATTCAACACACCCACCAAACACACCCTAAACTAGACATCCAACGTTACTAAACGATTAAGATTATCAGGTAAAATATTAGAAATAAAAGGAGCACTTGAAGAGATCCTCATTTAGCAGCCCAATCAGCAACAATATTTCCATCTCTTAGTATGAGACTAATAGATATTAAGATCTCTAGCTATAGATTTGATCTTCTTAAACTGCAAGTTAATACTCCAATGACACACCATATCGGATCTGCACACTTTCCAAAGAGTAATAGAATTCATTTACAAAATAATATCATTACATCTCATCTTTCTCGCAAGCATCAAAGAAAAAACAATAGCAGCATTAAAACAATAGCATTAACCTCAACCACAATTGATGAAACAGATAAAACAAGGGCAACAAACCAATATAAAACAATATCATTTCAGTCTCTACAAACTCTACCAACTCTTGCACAGTTCATTTTCCAACTGCCATCGGAATTAATTTAAATTTTGATATAAAGAAAATTTTGCGTTTGGTGTTTATGCGAAGACCAGAAAATATAAATTTTCATTTTTTATAAGGACAGACATTTCTATGAGGGATACAAATTTAAATTTCTGTGCCAAAATTTCAAGAGCTAAATAAATGTAAAGCCACAGTTTTAGAAGAAATATGCGCCTTTCTTTTTTCTTATTTTCTTTTTTTCTTTCTGTTTTTTTTTTTTTTTTGTGTAAAATTGAGTGAACTAAAAGTATTTATACATATTATATGGTTCAATCTCTTAAAAAAAAAGGATATGGTATTTTGTAGCAATATTTTTATATTTGATTAAATGTTTAGATATTGAGCTCTTTTACATTATAGGAATATTTAACTAATGCTATTTTATGTGACTTTTAATTAAAAAAAAAAAGTTGAAAACAAAGAATAATATTATGTGCAGATAAAATAGGTGCAGATTTAGTTATATTTGATGATATTGTGATGAAATATCACCATAATACCATCAAATATCACTATTTCATGTGTAAATTTTTTAAAAAATATTACATGCACATATTATGTGTGAATTGATGGTATTGGGGTGATACTAAGATGGTATTGAGATTCGATTAATACCACCCCAATATAATTTGAATAATATGGTCCGCACATATAGATGTTGCACTTAATATTCACTCGTAGATGGATGATATTGACGTTATGTTGAGATAGTTTTGAGATGATGATGAGGCTAAATATTATTCTAAAATCAACTGAATATTATAATCCGCACATAAAAGATACTACACCTAATATTTGCTCATAACACCGCACTTAATATTTGCTCATAACACCCATAACACCGCACTTAATATTTGCTTATAGATTTCACATATAATATTGGCTCCATTGTTATCAACGAGCAATATATGCACATTTCTTATTTATCTTTTTTTAATTTTATTTTTATTTTTTGACGCCCATCGCGTAGGACACCCTAGCCCTCTCCCCTGCTTCCATCCACGGCTTCGTCTTCGGTTGCGGACAGGACAACGAAGGTCTCTTCGGCAAATCTGACGGCCTCATCGGCCTCGCGAAGGACCATCTCTCCCTTCTCAGCCAGCTCTCTACAACATACGGCAATTCCTTCTCCTACTGCCTCCCTTCCTCCTCCGGCTCCGGCTATCTCTCCTTCGGCTCCTACACTCCTTCAAACCTTGCCTTCACCCCCATGGTCTCCTCCTCCCTCGACAAGTCTCTCTATTTCCTGAAGCTCACCGGCATAACAGTCCAAAGCCGAACTCTTTCCGTCTCCGCGTCAGTCTATGCCGGCACGCCGACCATCATTGATTCGGGCACAGTAATCACGCGGTTGCCGGATGAGATCTATTCGGCGTTAAGCAAAGCGGTGGTGGCAGCGGTCGGAAGAAAGAGGCAGCGAGTTTCGGCGTACTCGATTTTAGACACTTGTTATGTGGGAAGTGGTGAGGGGATGGCGGTGCCGGATGTGCAGTTGGTGTTCGCCGGAGGGGCGGTGTTGAGGTTGCCGGCGAAAAATGTGATGGTGGATGTGGAGAAGGGGAGGACTTGTTTGGCTTTTGCGGCGGCAGGAAGAGTTGCAATTATTGGGAATAAGCAACAAGAGGGGTTTAAGGTGGTGTATGATGTGGGGAAGGGGAGGATTGGGTTTGCCGCCGGTGGGTGTGGGTGAGAATTGTGGGTGGGTGGCATTAGTTAGAAGGTTGTGAAGGAAAATAAGCAGGTTGTGCGGTGCACTCTGAATAATTGGAATGAATAGTTGAATACCTTTAAAATTATTTTTATTTTTAAGAAAATGTGTGATTGATCTCCATTATTTAGAGTGGATTCATGGTGGAGGTGGGAGTTATAAACATGTAATTACACCATTAATTGGTAGGGTTGTGGTATGAATTATGATTTTGATTGGATTAAAAATGTAAATGTCTTTGAAACATAATGTATTCGTTGATGTTTGTAGTATATTTTTGATGTGTTCGTTTATGTTCATATTGCAAATATTTAAATGTTTTTGTTGATATGATAAACATGAATGCACATTGAGTGAATTTTTTTTTCCTTAAAATTTTAAAATTTAAGAAGCATATGGATGATGCACAACAATCTTATGTGTGATTAACTTGACATAAATTTATATGACTCGGTGTGAAGTATGGTACAGATATAATTAATTAATTTATAATGTATTCGTTAATGGTTGTGTTTCAGGATAAACTATTTATCCTGAAACTCACAAGCTGTCCAAGCAAACCATTTATTATCTGTTAAAAAACAGTCAAGTTATGAATTATAAAAAAATTTGTTTTAAAAGAAAATTAATTTCAATGTTGATTTTTTGGCAATTGTTGTTAATTTTAACACAATTCCAATTGGATATGACATAAAGTTTACTCCATAAATGCTATAAAACTACAAAGCAATCATGAACGTAGCTAATTTATATTTTTTTTATGAGGTAGCTTAAGAGGGGAAATAGCTCTATGAACACTTTAAGGGTCTGTTTGGCGCAGCTGCAGCTTCTCAGTTTTTCAGCTGCAGCTGCGCTGGTGTGTGTCCAAGTAGAGATGTTTCAACAAGAAAGATCCATATAGCATGAATGGATTGATGGCCATTTAAGAAATTTTGCACTGAGGCCACCTAACCTCACATATAGCATATTAGTTCTACAAACGGAGGGCAAAAGAATGAGAAGATACATTCTACCCTCACGTATAGCATATTAGTTCTACAAACGGAGGGCAAAAGAATGAGAAGATATTTTGCACTGAGGCCACCTAACCTCACATATAGCATATTAGTTCTACAAACGGAGGGCAAAAGAATGAGAAGATACATTCTACCCTCACGTATAGCATATTAGTTCTACAAACGGAGGGCAAAAGAATGAGAAGATACATTGCACTGAGGCCACCTAACCTCACGAAATTTGGTGTGTTGAGAATCAAATGAGAAGATACAAACGGAGGCCACCTAACCTCACATATAGCATATTAGTTCTACAAACGGAGGGCAAAAGAATGAGAAGATACATTGCACTGAGGCCATACAAACGGAGGGCAAAAGACCTAACCTCACGAAATTTGGTGTGTTGAGAATCAAATGAGAAGATTCAAACGGAGGCCACCTAACCTCACATATAGCATATTAGTTCTACAAACGGAGGGCAAAAGAATGAGAAGATACATTGCACTGAGGCCACCTAACCTCACGAAATTTGGTGTGTTGAGAATCAAATGAGAAGATACAAACGGAGGCCACCTAACCTCACATATAGCATATTAGTTCTACAAACGGAGGGCAAAAGAATGAGAAGATACATTGCACTGAGGCACTGAGGCCACCTAACCTCACCAAAAGAATGAGAAGATACATTGCACTGAGGCCACCTAACCTCACGAAATTTGGTGTGTTGAGAATCAAATGAGAAGATACAAACGGAGGCCACCTAACCTCACATATAGCATATTAGTTCTACAAACGGAGGGCAAAAGAATGAGAAGATACATTGCACTGAGGCCACCTAACCTCACGAAATTTGGTGTGTTGAGAATCAAATGAGAAGATACATTATACCCTTCTCAAACAAAAATTTCAAGACAAACAAAAATTTCAAGAACCATTCCTTCGACCCGAAGCATTGAAAGGAAAAAAAAAATTTCTTACTGCTCGGGAAGATGACCTCGATGAGGGTGTTGGGGAAGAGGAGGAGATGCGAGACTGCTCGGAAAGAAGAGGGGATGCGAATATGCGAGACGAATCTCGTTCGGGAAGAGGATAAGAAGCGAGACGTTGTTCGCTCGGGAAGAGAAGGAGCTTCGGGAGTTCGGGGAGGGTTTCAGACGCGAGAGGAGAGCTCCTTTGTGTATCGCGAGGGCACCAACGTAAAAAGGAATTCAGGCCGCTGCGATGAAGCTGGGCCACTGTTATCCCACGGCGTTCCGCGTTCGCCACAAATCGCGGCAAACAGTGGAGAAGACGCCGCCCCAAATAGAAAAAATTCGCGGGGCGGTGTAGCGCAGCAGCAAAAATGCTACGCCAAACGGAGCCTAAGTATTTCATTTATATATTTTAATTGAAATAATGGATCTACTCGTACTATTTTCCTCTGAAAAATATCAATGAAAAATATCAACAAAAAAGTAATGGATGACTATATGTCAATTAATTATATCTCAAAACTTTTTTAAGGAAATTATTATGTGCTATACAATTTTTAATGGTGGGGAAAAATTACATCTTAGCTCAAATAAGAATATTTAACAAATATTGTTGGCATCAAATTTTAATGTTGTATGTGTAGAATGTCCACTTGAACAATATGGGACTGTATTTCATTCATTCATAACTTTCTGTAGCTCAAGACATTTATTAGGAATCTACGGTAGGTGTTTTTGGCGTTGAACTACGATTGGAGTTAATACAGCCTTACCTAGGAGAGTTCACCGTTGGGTGGCATCAATTTTGATGCGAGGCATGTTTATTGTTTATTTGAATGGTTGGAGTCGATATAGCCTTACCCATGAGAGTTCACAGTTTGTTGGCACCAATTTTGATATGGGGCAATAAAAATAATTTCTAACAAAACATTTAAATCTCTTATGTATAGTTTGTAAACAAGACAAAAAATATAAAATAAATTAAATAATTTAGGGGCTCTTTAGGATCATTTTTATTTATTATTACTTTTTATGTCTTTATTTTAAACAAAAAACAATTTATTATTTTATTAAGTATGATTATATATATATATCCTCTTAATTAAAATACAGAAATTAGGAACATTAGATTAGTTAATGATTAGAACGTGCTTTCAACATGAGCCTCTCAATCATTAAAAAAAAAAATTTCTACCGACAGACATAGGTTCTGATTCGAATACATGATATTCAATATAGATAATCTAACAACCATTGCTATGGCATCAAAATTTCATGAGTTAATTACTAAATCCTCAACTTTAGTAAATAAAATTAGCCATACTACCTTACACATAATTAACATATTTCATCGGTCCCTGTTCATTATTTGTATATAATTTTTTCTTTACAGCACCGAAAAATCATCTACCGATTTCAAATGACAAAAAATTATATAACAGTATCGACATTAGGGGTGTCAAAAATCGGCCCGACTTGTGAACATGACTCGAGCTTTACTCGAAAAATTCGGACGCGGGCCTGAGAAGTTGAAACATAAAAATTTCGGGTAAGGTTCGAGTTGAATTTGAAAACCCGCACATTACCCTAATAAACACGATAAAATTTGTTGTATTATTAGTTCTTATATCATTGATTATCATATATAAATAGAATTTTTTTTTTAATTTACTTATCATTACTTGTTAAATGTTAGAAGTATAATTTTTAATAAAAAACTGAGCTGGCTGTCAAAGGGGCAGGGTTTGGGTTAATTGTGTCTTGGTCGAGTATGATTCAGGTTGAGTTTTTCGATTCTTTTATTATTTGGTTCGGATTAGCGTCAGGGGACCCAAATTCGACCCTCTAATTCCAAATAATGTAGGACCCAAACTGGACCCGCTAATTCGGAATAATCAAGGCTGAAATGAATGAAGGAAACATCAAATACGCAAAATGATGAAAGTCAAGACAAGTTAGGTGCCGCGTGGAAAGGTTGTGCGTCAATTATCATCGTATGACAGCTTAAATTTTTTTGTTACATTTAAGCCAAACCACTTTTCCACTTCATAATTTGTTTAGTGGATTGATAATTTTTCTTGATGCGGAAGAACATCATCAATTAAATTCATTTTTCTTCCTGATCAGCTAGCGACAGTTTTCCGACAGCCTGAATCTATAAGCCGAAGGTGAAGGAGATTTCAATCACAGAAGATTGACGAATGGTATTTAACAAAAGAAACCAAATCTTTGTTCTCGGAAGAACTGCTGGGTTTTCATTCATTTCTGTTCTTTTTATTTTTTTTTTCCGCTCCAAATTCGTTTTGCTTTGTGTTCTCAAGTTTTTGTAGCTGAAACCTTTGAAATTTTCTAATATGTATTTCCCTTTTCCTCGCTGTCAAGTTTCAACCCATTTAATTTGGAATCTGTCAAGTTTCTTGATGCATTTTTCCTCATTAAACTTTGATGAAATCTCTTCCAGAAACTAACTTTTAATGTCCATTTTAATCTTGCTAGAAGCGTAGTATGATCCTGATATTTATGGTATTGTTTAATCAGGTGAAAGTGTAACAGCCTGAGATGGGCTGTGTTTCTTCTAAGGTTTTGACTAAATCTGCAAGCTTCAGAGAAGAGCTTCAGAAGCGGCTGCAGAGAAGAAAAACAGATAGCTATGAAGATTTAGTCATCTCAAAGTCTCTTACAGAGCAGTTTGTAGCAGTTTTATGCCCCTCCAACACAGTTCCTGATAAGTTCAACGGGCATGAATCCTCTAATCAACCTTCAGTTACGAAAGAAGATCGTAAAGCCACAGTTTTGGTAGAAGAACCTGAGAATCACATAGAGACAATCAATACATGGGAGCTCTTGGCTGGTCTAGAGGATGACCATGATGTTGAAGTCCAAAAAGAAGAAGAGCTTTCTAAGAGCTTAAATCCAATCAAGGATGAAGATTCTGAAACCGCAGAGGCTGTAAAGCAAGACGAATTGAGAAAGGCATGTGGTGGTGAAAAGGGCATAAGGAGGAGGGTCATGGCGATGGAGCTTACAAAGGTGAAGGTCCCAAAATTTGAGTTCTCCAGGGCAGGGAGCCTGAGGGATTGGCTATCACAGGGAGGTCAGGTGTTCTCACCTGGGTCATATATAACACCCAGGTTTGGGAGCTTTGAGCCTGTAGCTGCAAATGGAGGTGGTGAGGGGAATGAAAAGGCTGTTTTTGATCCAAAATTGGTTGCTCAGCTTGAGGAGGCTATGGAGGAGATGACAGTTGAGGAAGAGGAGATACTAAAACAGATTGTTTAAGGACTGTAAGGATGGAGGACATAAAAGTCTGTTGAAGCTTCAAAATGGCAGTGGAGGTATGAAAGGTTTTGGTATGCCTTATGATTTGTGTATTGTGTTTATAGCTCCTTGAGTTTAACACTCAAGGTTGTGATGATCAGATTGTGAAAATTCATTTTTTTTTTTAATTTCCTGATAGGAGTTAAAATTTTGTCCAAATTGTGCTGAATTGTGTTCTCTAGGTTTCCTAGAAGTGAGTCAATTGTAAAAATTCTTAAATGTTTGATTAATATTTTGCTACATATTAAAAGTACACCCTAAAAAAAAGGAAGATTTGCATACATACAACTTAATTCTCGTGTATTCACACATCTCTAACTCCTACATTTCAATTTTTACATACATACCGTTACTTATGCTTGAATAAATGTATTTTTCCTTTTAAAAATTAAAATGGTAGTATTTAAAAGTTGCCTGTGAGTTGAGCTTGTTGGGTTGGAGTAGGTGCTCGATGCAACAAAATCTAATATTCAAGCCATCAACCTCTGTTAGAATTAGGTTTAGAAAGACTAAATAATATTATGCAGTGCAAAAAGGTTGAGTTTAATGATAGAGTTATTGCTCTTGTGGCATTGATGGAGATGAATAGGTATTAAATGTGGATCAGACACTGATTCATTTAAAGGATTATTGATATTTTAATGTTAGGTGAAAAATAATAATGTTGTTAATACAAGTTTTTTTTTAAAAAATAGAGGTTTTACTTGTTTTGCATGCCATCAATTTCAGTGATTTCAAGACAATTCTTATAGGTAATTAAGACAATTTAATCTCTTGTTTCATAAATGGGATGAGAGTTTGTGGATCTCATATCTTTGGATTTGTGATTCAAAACTGAGTTTCAATCTCAAATCCTAAATGAAAGATTTAACAGCTCCAATTTTTTTGCAATGCAAGATTTCTAACTTCAAACAATAGAAATCGGCTGTAAGGGATAAATAGAAAGGGAATTTAAAATGAAGTCTGCTGGATCTAACGTTATTTGAGGAAGATATCAGGATCATGTTAAAATATTGACAGAGCTTGAAAAGTAGAAGAGAGAGGATTGAATATCACTGGTTCTTCTTGATTGCTTTAGTTTATAAGAGACCCAAATGGACATTTAGATTGAGGAAAGTGAATCAAATTGACAGATCAAAGAGAGGTTCCTTGAACTCTGAAGAGATTGGTTCCGAGGAGAATATAGAAGAGAGTCTGAGAGATTAAGTTTAAACCAAATGTGTACTTAGTCATGTTTGCACTTAAGTGGTGATCACCTATTCATGGATAAGTGCATAATCAGCAATAGATATTTGGCAACATGTCTACTCTTGTATCGTTTGATATCGCTACTTCACTCGACTTTGGACTTAAAAGGCCTGGTTACATCCAACCATTTGTAAACCATAAGATTACTGAATAAGATTTCAAATTTTATTGTGATTCATTGATTTCAACACTTTTTACGCAAATAATATTCTTCATGGCTTAGGAAATAAAATTGGATCATTATCAGTCCCTAAGTTAAAATTTGACTGTTAAAAAATAAACCTCAATGGTTTGAAATAACATAATTTTAGTGTTCTATGAGATTGTCATAAATTTATTTCATGTGATTCATCAATTATAAGATTATTTATGACAAATTTATAATGGAATGTTTGTCTATAAATTTATTCTTCGTATAAGTTATAAAATTATTCCACAATAACAAATGAAAAATGCATTGATTATTAAGTTTAGTTTTGATGCGCAATCCCAAATATGAAGCTTTCTTAAATTGAAAAAAAAATTTTATGTCCACACTTCAAACTGAGTTTTTAAGATTATCTTATTAGGGACCATTAAATTAGATACTCCATCTATAAATTTTATCATTCGGCATGAAGAATAAGGCATGACATAAATCTCGAGGCCATTTTTCAACAAGAAAAGTTCAAACTTCAATTAAAAGTGTTTCAAAACTTCAATTTCAGCAAACTTACAGTCAAACCGTCCAAATCGATGAGACGGAGCCAACGGTACCAAAATTGGTATAAAACGTGTCACATCAAACCGAAAAAAAGATGTTAAACTACTTTTAGAATCACCTTGAGCAAGAAGAAGACTGAAGCTTGGAGGTGAAGTTGAAGTCTAGTTCGCTTCTGCACTGCAAATCTGGCGAATATCTTCCGCTCTTGCAGTTGACGACCACTAACGACAGTCCGCTGCTAGCCATTATCGATCGCCAACGACAGCCCTGATCATGCCAAATAAACCCCTTGCTAAATTATTACGTATGTTGCAAAATCCTGGCATACATTATAGAGCAACAACATACCCCAATAATGGCGTAACAATGCATCCCACATATGATGCAACAATACCTCCCAAAGACAGTGCAATAACGCACCCCTAAGATGATGACTTTCTCTGGGCTCCTAAAGTTCTTTCCGTGCAACCCACCCACTACCACTTACTTGACCAAATATGGCTTATGTGGTCCATAGCTTGTGCAACTTTCGACTCCTGCCTCTAAAACCTAGGAAGTCATCATAGATCATCATTATAACCTATGTGGTCCACAACTCGTGCATCTCCCAATTTTGTCCTTTCCAGTCTGCGGACGTCACTACAACCCACTACTATGACCTACGTGGCCAACTACAGTCAGTTTGATCAAGAACTTGTGCAGCTCTCAACTCCGACCTTTGTAACATACGAACGTCATCATAACTCACTACTACGACCTATGTGACCAACTACAACCTTTGTGGTCCACAACTTGTGTAGCTCCTAACTTCAACTTCTACATAATACAAACATCATCACAACTCAATAATAAAGCCTACGTGACCAACTACAATCTACGTGGTCCATAGCTCATGCAGCTCCATACTTCATTCTCTGTGGCCCACAGATGTTATCACTACTCACCACAACAATTTATGACCAATTACAGCTTACAAGGGCCATTGCTCCTGTAGCTTCTTACTAGAACCTCTGTGGTCAACCATTTCTTTTGAAGTAACCATTTGCCACCCACACAGACAACTATAACCATGAATTTCAATTATGTCCTATATTATAAACTGGTGTTATAGCCTCCATCTACAACATTTACGTCGGACTATTACCTCCACAATAATCGACTACGAACTATGCAGTTTGTTATCACCCGAAATTACATTCATTACAACTAGACTACGATTATTATCAATAAATTATTGTTGTTGATTTATAATGATCAACTTTTTTACCCTATCATCTCTAATTTAGGAGAAGAGTGCACTCGTGTACTCACCATTCATAGTGAATTAATTTAACTGGATAAGACATTATGGCTTTTTCCCTTTCTAGGATTTCAACATAAAAGTTGAAGTGCGTACTTCTCTTTATTAACCAGAGTGTGTGTTGGGTTTTCATATAACGCTAAGACGATAATTCATTACTCTTCTGCAACCGGCCTTCTGTCATGCATAAATACTTAATAAATACATAGTAATTTTTAAAACATGCATGCACAATGATAATATTATACAATAATGACTTAATATACTCCTAATCATTATTATTAAAATACGAATATATTTTCTTAAGCAATTATCATTTCATTTTGGTATGCTTGACATTGTGTATTGAGTACATGCACTATGCGTTTATTAAAAAAAAATTTAGTAAAAGGACCAAAGCATTTTCTATATTAATTGTGCTTTCTAAAGTATTCATCATATATGTCAAATCTCATAATTTTAAAATTTTTTCATATTTCGCTCTAATTATCTGAAAGCAATGCATTACAATTTTAAGGCATACATCCTTAGCTCTCTTGGAGTATACAAAATCCAAGACTATTCTAATCTCTTTTTCATGACATAATTGTGAGGAAGGGAGGAGGAGAGAGGCATTCTAAGCAAATCCTGAAAGACTTCTTTACATTTACTTCTTCCTAATAACTCGAAGAACTCAAAGAAAGAAGTAGATGGAATGCTAGCAAGAGGGGGGCATCAACGGTGCTGAGCAAGGACACTAGGTGATGGTCAATGGAGATTGACGGGCTATAATCAGAGGCTATGCAAGCTAAAAGAAATCATGGGGTCTTCAATATGTCGTTATATGTTAAGAGTGCATTTGGGTTACATTGTTAGCAAGCAGAGGTCACCATCGTCAATAAGGAGTCGTTCGGCGACAGCCAACTACTCGTGATTGAAGATTGTAGGCTGCTACGAATGACGAAAGTTATTTTGAGGGCTTTAGTCATAATTGACTCTAGAATTCCTTCGCTTTCCGCACTCTCAAGTGCCACCTCAAGTGATTATTAATTGCCTCTAGATTATGAGTGTTTTTGAATTTTTGGTGAATAACTTCCTCAACCATCTGATCAGACAATATTTATAAATCCCATTTGATTATAGAAATTTTTTAAATGATTTGAGAGCCTTAATGCCCTTAGAATTAAGAAATCTTAGGCTCTTAGAATTTCTCTTATCGAGATGTTCAATTTAAATATAAATATCTCAAATTTAAAATTCATTTAATCATTCAATTGATGATTCAAAATATCAAAAAATGCTTTAATAGGTTGATTTGGACTTTATTGAACTTGACTTGAACCAACTTTGATATGATCGGGTTCGCCTTGTCGAAATGGTCAGTTTCACTATAAATTTGTTGAAATCATAATCACGATGAATCTTGAATTTATATCTAAAACATTTATTATTAAAAGAAATATATTGGAATTCAAGCAAAATAATAAACAATTGCTGATACCTTATCAATTATCATGTCTCGTTATCTAATGGTGAAAGTTTCCATTTTTTTAGGCAAAATAGTTGTTAAAGAATTTATAAATAATTGAGGTGTTGTTAAAAATGTCAATTACGTGTTAAGTAATTTTATAACAAGATGGCTTCTATAATCCTCTATATTAATTCCCAATATTATTAAAATAAATTATTAGTCATCTGTAAATGATGAATACATTCAAGAAGTGCTTCAATAACTGGCTCCTTGGCTTTACAAAAAAAATATTTATGTTATATGTGATTAGGGCTGTCAAAACGGCTCGTTCTTCGCGAACAGCTCGCGTTCGACTCGTTAAGAAGCTCGTGTTCGGCCCGTTAGCTAAGTTAACGAGTCGAACACGAACAACAAGAAAAAAGATTTATCGTTCGTGTTCGGCTCGTTTTGGCTCGAAATACCACTAATTAATTATATATATAGAGTTTTGATGAGTAGTATTTTAAAAAAAAAATTAATTGAATACAATGCTACAAAGATTTATAATCA